TTATATGTTAGTAAACAATATTAATTTTAGACCTTCATAAAGATTTCCCTTAACTCGTACACAAAAAAAAAAAAAAAAAAAAAAAAAAAAAAAAAAAACGTAATTGAATTCCTTCTCTCAATAAAATGGTTAATTAGAACTTGAAGCAGCAAATTCTACGTCTTCCTGAAAATAATTTTCAAAACACTGAGAACTTGAAAATATTCCCTCGTCTAAATATTCTCCCAACCATGCCTCCTAAATTCTATATTATGTTTAGATTACGCCATCTTTCTGGTCAGCTGGCTTAATATGTCAAAGCCTTTGATTTCCAGAAATTAAATAATTAAGTTTCTGGGTATGATGCCAGTTAACATCCATAAAAAATGTCGCCTATCTTTTCAGGATGTAGGGTTTCCCTTAGTTTGAATAGCCAGTTATTCTAATTTTTTTCTCTGTAGTGGCGTCCAAAATAAAAGGTGGTGGACCACCAGGATTTGGCTACTGGGTCCCCTAATTCCCAGTCGCCCTTTAAAAGGCGGCCCCCTTTCTTCATGCGTTTGTGGTATAACCGTAATACACTCGAGGAGTCCAGGCAAGAACATTACTTATTTTTGACGTCTCCAGCATCAAAATAACCTAATGACTCTACAAGCTCTGAAACGCCTAATACAAATTTTAAGACTCCAAATCGATATTCATCAGTGAGTATAAATCCTCTGTCCAAAATGGGGTCGTGATGATCAGCGGCAGTTGCAAGCTGTAACAGCTTTAATATCGTTATTAATCTCTCGTGCATTTGAAATAGATGAATAATAAATAATGTACAGATTACTGGCAATATTGAAATGCAGGCTCGAGAGCTGCATGCATTTTCTCGCACGAAGCATGTAAATTATTTTTTTAAATAAGTTTATAGAATATATTTTCTTTCTTGTTTGTATGTCGCCATTTTTTTTAGTGTTAAATAAAAGTTATTGCTGTGTTCCATCATTGGAGTTGCTTCATTTCGCCAAAGAAGTATCACAGTCTTAATTATTTTGGAGGCACCGACGAGATCGAATAATCGTGCGTATTTTTATTTTATTAGTTCATCATTGAACATAATATTAGTGATACCAGATTATTACTTTCTGTTAATACTGAATTGCTTTATTTTATTAGTTCATCACTGAACGCAATATTAGTGATACCAGGTTATTACTTCCTGTTGATATTGAATTAATTGCCTTATTTTATTAGTTCATCACTGAACGTAATATTAGTGATACCAGATTATTACTTCCTGTTGATATTAAATTGCCTTATTTTATTAGTTCATCACTGAACGTAACTTCCTGTTGATATTGAATTGTCTTATTTTATTAGTTCATCACTGAACATAATATTAGTGATACCAGGTTATTACTTCCTGTTAATATTGAATTGCTTTATTTTATTAGTTCATCATTGAACGCAATATTAGTGATACCAGATTATTACTTTCTGTTAATTTTGAATTGCTTTATCTTATTAGTTCATCACTGAACGCAATATTAGCGATACCAGATTATTATTTCCTGTTAATTTTGAATTGCTTTATGTTATTAGTTCATCTCTGAACGCAATATTAGGGATACCAGATTATAACTTCCTGTTGATATTGAATTACCTTATTTTATTAGTTCATCACTGAACGTAACTTCCTGTTGATATTGAATTGTCTTATTTTATTAGCTCATCACTGAACATAATATTAGTGATACCAGGTTATTACTTCCTGTTGATATTGAATTGCCTTATTTTATTAGTTCATCACTGAACGTAATATTAGTGATATCAGGTTATTACTTCCTGTTAACATTGAACTGCCTTATTTTATTAGTTATTACTGAACGTAAACTTAGTGATACCATTTTAATGCCATTTCTACCAGAGCTCAAAGGAAAAGAAAAAAGCTGAAGAGCAGATCTTGGAACCGATGAAGGAAGAAAATAAAGCATCCAGAGATGTATTTGAAGAAGTTAAATCACCAGAATTAAAAGAGGAAGATGTTCACGAAAATTTAAAAAACGATAAAGAAATTAATATTGAGAATCATTTTGCAATGCAGCGTTATCATCATCTTTCGGCTTTTGATTTAATATCAAAGCCGCTACTAATAGACGCAAGAAAACAATTGTCTCGAAAGCAAATGACAAATGAATATTATCCGAAGGCACAGATGAACTGAGGAAAGGCTTTGCTGTGAATTATAGCCGAGTAACTGGTCCACCATGGAAGAGATCTAGGCGCCGTCAAGGAAAAAAAGAAGACTAATTTGAACACTGGTCCATTTTCTTGCTATTTAAATGTGGTGTAAAAATACTTGTTTAAAACTTAAAATTTTCGGCCTGAAAATTTGGAAACTTATGAGAGAAGTTATCTTTTCTCTTTAAGCAATTTAGCAAGCCGAGCTTATTAAACTGTCAAATTTTACAGAACTTTTCCCTTCGAAAAAAGTCTCTCCGTTGGGGGAGAGGTTGTAACAGCTTTAATATCGTTATTAATCTCTCGTGCATTTGAAATAGATGAATAATAAATAATATACAGATTACTGGCAATATTGAAATGCAGGCTCGAGAGCTGCATGCATTTTCTCGCACGAAGCATGTAATTATTTTTTTTAAAAAGTTTATAGAATATGTTTTCTTTCTTGTTTGTATGTCGCCATTTTTTAGAGTGTTAAATAAAAGTTATTGCTGTGTTCCATCATTGGAGTTGCTTCATTTCGCCAGTATGAAAGAAGTATCACAAAACTCTGAATGAAAATGCGTAGTAGTCAGCTCCTTTTTTGACAACAAATGTGAATAAAAACATCATGAGAAGTAGCTGTTAAATTCAATAATTTTTCAGAGAGCAGAAATTTTCTATCATCAACCGTATTGCCATTTTCGTAATTATCTGCCTTCCTTATGAAGGAGAACAGTTCATCATCTCGAAGATGGAGAAGGTATGTAAGGAACTATAAGTGTTTTAACTGACATTTTTCAGTAATACCTAAATTTCAGAAACTTGCGAGGTGACTAAATGAACTAATGATAAACTTGCGAGGAAACGTATTTTTGCAAATCGTTTATCATGCCTTTTGATGGCGTAAAGCCATTATTTGCATTTTAGAAACCGACTGGCCAAATTGTATTTATAAACTATTATACAATTTAGCTTTTGCTCATTCTAGTAAAAAATAAATCAGATTTATGTGCATAAAGATATTTCTGAACACCATAGCAATTCTTAAAATATCTTTTCAGTGAAAATATAAAGTTACGTTACTTAATTTTAGATTTGAATAATATATAATTACTTTTATAGTAGATTTTCATAAAAAATATACACTGGCTTCCAAAAGTTAAATATGCAGTAGAAATCAGCAGTTTTCAAAAGCGTAGTTAAATTTCAGTGACTAGAAATTGCTGCGAATGCAGATGGCAGCATGAAAATATTGTACGTTAACAATCAGTAATGATTTGCTCTCTGAACATATGGTAGTTAGTCGAGCGTGGAAGACCCCAGCATTCTGAATAGTTAGAAGAGACTTTTTTGTAATGCTGATCCTTTCGTAGGATAATTTTTTATGATATTCGTATTTCTATGGCTGAAAGAAGATATATGCTAGTTAGAGAGTGCTGTCGTAGATGCATTAGGGAGAGCAATCAAAGATGTGGTAAAATCAAAGATGTCAAAGATGATGTACTTTTCTTTGGAGTTAATCATTCGATAATTTCTCAAATATGAAAACAATTCCAAACGCGTCAAATAGTTGTCCGAAGACCGATACTGTGTCTACCAAGTCCTTTTGAAGATCGGTATATTGCTATAGGAGCAAAACAGAATCGGCAAGCGAATTCCACATCTGTTACATCCATAGTTGCAGAGTCACGTGGTAAAACAATTTCTGCTAGTATGACAATATCTGCCGAAAGCCTCACACGTAGGAATTGCCAAGTGCTTCTGTTTCACGAACCGCCCAATCCAGAGGGCAAGATTAAAGTAAACATCTCAACTAGTTTGTGTCAGGTTGGCGTAACTTCCTATTCATAAACGCATACAGCTGTAATCAGGTGATAAGCGTGTAAGGGTCTTGAAAGAGAAAGGCGCGCGGAATCAGACCTGGGACATATCGAACAACAAGCATTCAAATCTGGCAACATCGTGGTTTGCATTAGAATTTCAATAGGAGAAAGCATCGAGGTGAAAATCTTTAAAAGGTTTTGTGACGGCTCAGCGGTATCGGGATGAAGTCTCACACATCATTGCTAAACTCTACGCTGCAACAGTTGGTCGTTATAGATGATAATTATCATCCCTATAGAAGCAACATCGTTAACGCGTACCAGGAAAGTGAGGGCAATTCTGCAATGGAGTGGCCGCCACTATATTTTCCCTACTTTAATCCATTGAAAATCTTTGGGGTGCCCTCAAGAGTAGTATCTCTACACGTTGCCTATTTAGACAGTCTCAGACATATGGAAATGAAGGAATGGCCATTGCTAGCATTTTCTGTGATTGATCACTTTATTGAAAGCCTGTATAGTGTCTTTAAAGTTTGTATGGAGGTCCAGGGGGCTCACATACCTTACTAATCTAAGTTTTACTTGTTTTGAACTTTAAGCATCAATTTATTAATGAACCAAATATGATATCATCAGAATACTTACGAAAATTAAATATTGTTTTTATCTTTTTACATAATACTTGTCTTCTGTTATGCATAAATGCGTTTGCTACCTTCATGTACAATTTTGTGTTAATCAAAGCTTTACTTTTCCATTTTTGTTAATTTTACCGTTGCGTGCTTAACTTTTAGAAGCCAGTGTAAAATTACAACAAACAGTTTCAGGAACTCTGAAACCAAACCTAGAATTACAAAAATAATATAATTATTTCAAGATATTTTTAATGACTATACATCTAATTTCATGATATATTTTCATAAAAAAATAAAAAATGATAATAATACGCTTTAAAGATGAATATTAAACACAGTTTTGATTTTCCAGCTTACGTAGCTGCAGCTTACACTGACGACTGGCAAGTTCCATTCTGCACTTATTTCCAGATGCAGTTTCTTGGTATGGCACTCACATTTTCCTTGAGCAACTATATTCATTTGGAAACCAAGATCTGTATATTGGCAGCAGCGCTGGTGATCGCCATTGTACCCTATACAATCCTGGAATTTCGTCTCCATCACAGAAACCATGTGCAAAATCGGACAGCTATGTTGTGAATTTAGCTAATTTTTATGAAATATTTGACACGAATGAAAAAGTACTTCTCAGCAAAGAGAAATATTTTCAGAAAAAAGTACGAGCAGTATTGTTTTTTCTCAAATATGATATGATGTAACTCGTGTAAAAAAAAAAAAAAAAAAAAAAAAAAAAAACATGAGTTAATAAATGTTGTGATGTGCATTTAAATTTTTTTGTCTCTCTGAATTGCAAAAAGTTTGCTTCAAATTAAAAAAAGGAGACAGATTTTTAAAAACAAACCCTAACTTATCAAAATGAACTAATTTGAACTCCTAAAAATATTCAATGGAATGTAAGTGGAGTTTTAAGCACAAAAGGAAATAAAAATCTGAATCAATAGCAATTATTTTCTGATACTAGTAAAGAATTTTACGAATGATGGAAAACAAATCAGAAACATTAATTACCTTTCCTTTTTTTTACTATTTTTTACAAATAAAAAGAATTTAATCTCTCTATTTTAATGAAACAATTTTTTTTTCTTTGAAGAGGAAACAAAGTATCAATTAAAAATTTAGCTTTTAATTGCTTTCTTTTCCTTAAGCTCACCAGTTTTTTAACTTGTCTTATTATAGATTTTGTTTTAAAATGTTTTGTATTAAAAGCAGTCTTCGCCTGTTCTCTATTTAAAAGGTGTTGATTACAATTATTTTGAAAAACGGAGTTTCTTTAGAATTATATCATATGAAAAGATCTCTAGAATGAAGCTGATATTCTGATTTTATTTTTAATGAAGTAAAGTGTATCTCTATCCTGATGTCTAAGTACGAGAAACTCGTAGAATTTCTGTTCTCGAAATAAAAGTGAGAGTTTATATTGTAACTGATAAAGCTAAGGGAGCAAATGTTTAACTTTAGTACCACTGTGGATTTGAACGCAAGAAAAATGGCATCCGAACTACATTTAGTAACGTATTCTAGAGTGGGAAATTAATATGCTATATTTTTAACAATAAATAATTCTTTCTCTTTCTCTTAGACTAAATATTTGCGTAGATAAAAATATTAGCTCAATTTTATTTAATAAAAATTGACAGTGAATCCTATTGAGAAACCAGCTACAATTTCTTCTAGGACCCTGCTCTGAGTCACGAAAACAAAAATCTTTGTCGGAGACAAACTTAACGAAATTACTAACATTACATATTACATTAACATAAAATTTCAATTTAGTTTATCAACAGATGATCGATATTTAGTAATTTAATGTCTTCATGGATGGCAAATTCCTGCTGCAACATACCCTTTATTAATTTATTTCTTAGTTTAGTTCCTGTTTTAATGTTGTTTGTGATGCCACCAAAACTTGATTAGGCTTGACTGGAATACATCAACAGCCCCAGCCAATAATTTTGTATGAGAACGACGACACCTCTTTTAAACTAGAGCAGCAAAATATTGCTAGGGACTGCTGCCATATTCCAGTCAAATTTGGAGGCGACATAGCTTTATTCACACTTTCAGTGTTATTTGTTATTTCAGATATTACTCACATTCTTTGTATGTACCCTTAATTATAATATTATATCATATTTAATAACAATGGATACATGGTTAATAAAACAATAAAAAACGGTGTGCATATTATAACAAATAAACAAGGAAATAATGTCCAGACAGAAACAGTTTTTGTTGATGACGCTAACAATAAATAATTAAGTGACTTTCAGCTTAGCACGATTTCCGAGAATGGCAGTAACAAATAGCCGCATGATGTATTATCCATTACGCATACCAAAAAGAAGAAAACATGAAAATGTCCTGAATTCGACAGCACATTGACGATTATATAAAATTTGGTTTCATAAAAGGTGCTGATGGAAAAACATTTTATGTTACTTGTTGCACGGCTTTATCAAATGAGTCCATAAGATCTTCAAAGTGGAAGTGGCAACTAGAATTTAAACATCCGATATTAAATAACAAGCCGTTATAAAAGAATTAATAGCTAGCAGACAGACTGTGCCTTCGAAATTTCTTAAAGTAAGTACTTTGCATTAAGTTCTAACAAAGGCTTCTAATGAAATATCCAAATTAATTGCTAGGACTGGATATCCTCATACAGTTGAGTAAAAATTAATAGTTACTGCAATTTAAATGTTAGTATCTCATATACGTGATAAAAAACAGCAAAACTAGATAAATATGTTATCTCTGTCCACTAGCACGAGGAAGCATAGAATCGTGTAAATAGCAGATGATATTGAAGAAACTGTTGTAGTTCGCTTAAAATAGTTACGTTTTTTTTTTTTTTGCTTTTGAAATACAGACATATCGGAAAATGCGAACTTAATTTGCTGGGATCTTGAGAATATATCTAATGAAGAATTTTCATTTTGCAAACCATTGAATACAAGAACAACAATAGAAGAAATGTTTTTAATTTATACGGTCATATTAGGTTTTTTTTCCCTTCCGAAGTTAGGATATTGAAGAAATTTGCAGGGCCATCACCGGAATTTGAATTCCGGACCTCCCAATTACGAGTCGAACAGGCTTCTAGTTACATCACGAAGGAATGCAGAAAGGATGAAGAAAATACCTTATAACTTGATTAATATTTACGTCAGTCGAAATGATATATACTGGAAGAATGCGTGAGACCGAGCAACGATGGTGCTTGGGCGATGGCAGACGTCCGTGCAAGACTTTTTCCAAACATAAAATCCATGGCACCAGTATGTATATGATTGCAAATGTAGCATATACAGAGAAGCCATAAAAAGGTCATTGCTTTTGCAAAGTGCTATGCAAGGGTTTATAAATTTTATAAAACATCCTCTGAAATCTAGTGTATTATGTAAAAAGATGGGCTAAACACGAACTTCTTCCTTTGCACTGCAAAGTACCATGGCTATCCAGAGGGAATGTCTTAAAGAGACTTTTAGAAATGACAGAAGAAACATTAATATTTTTAAATCAACATCTCCCGATTAATATTTAAATTTAGAGATAGTTTTAGGAACGTTAATTGGTTGATAAAGTTATCTTATCTGTGTGACGTTTTTGAGTTTTTAAGTAAATTAAATCTTCAGTTGCAAAACAAAACTAAAGTGCAAAAAAAAACAAAAAAAACGAAAGTTGAAACGAAAAAAACTTAGTTTGTGAAATGAGGAAATTATAATGCTTTTATAGTGCCAAATGAAGTTCAAAAGGAATACAATATATGTTCCATACCTGATAAAATTACAAATCTGAAAGACTATTTTTCTCCAACAATTCATTGCAATAAAGCATGGATAAGAAATCTTTTCACAAAAAGTACAGAATCAAGGACGTAATTACCGGATTCAGATGGTGAATCTGTAATTAAATTATCTTGTGATATACTGCTTAATGACAGCTGCCACAAAATACCACTGAGTTTTGGCTACCCTGTCGTCAAATGTATCCCTTTTTGGCACAAAAGAAAATTTAAATTTCTATTGCTCTTCTTTTTTTTTTTCCAAAAATTGACTAGATATTGAACCAGATTTAAGAATAAAGTTGTCCTCTTTTTCTGTAGATCCAAAAGTCTAGTCTATCCAAAAGTTTATTTAATGAACAGCATCCCACCTTAAAACTTTTTATTATCACACTTCACATTAAAACTTTTTTATTGTTTTGCATTTTTGTGTATAATTTCTCAATAAAGGAAAAATATTTTAACATTAAAATTCGTTTAATTTACAATAAGACATAAACATTTTTACTTGGTCACAAACAAAAAAATATCAAATTAACAAAGTCTCTAAAAACGTGTTTGAGAAATCTTGTTCTGAGCTAAAAATGAAACCTACTATTTCGACAGAAAACAGTTTTGAAATTCGTTCATCTGCAATCCAAATGCACTTCGAAATACTCACTGAAAAGCTGCCTTAAATGGATTGAATTGGATTAGATGTCGATACATCACATGAAGGCTGCCTACCCAGGAGAATGGAAGTCCTCAGCGAAGAAAACTTTCAAGGAAACTGGCTCGCAATAACGTTACACATGAAGGAAAACACGAAACTTCACATGCAGCTGGTACATTTGCCAGAATATGGATTCGGGTTAAACAACCAGTTCAGCGACTTTACCTTTCAGCCGCTTTAGTGGATACGACTTTAATGGTAGCTAACTAAAACGTTTTGTTGGTCTCGGCCCTAGGTAGTGCACTGCACGTTACCTACAGTGGCGGTAAAAGTTAGTGACTGTAAAAGTTCATGTAGTTTGAATGACTTTGCAGTTAAGAACTTAAAATTTTCTCAAGATCTTAATTTTTTCATGCGCGACGTATCTTCAAAAAACAGAACATTTCTCCAAAACACAAATTTAAATGAGAAGACTAGAATTATAAAGTACGGTAGTAGCCAATAAATATAGGGAATATTTAAATAAAAAATGGAGTAAAGAAAAGTTGGTGTCACAACGTTTTAGATATGGATAGAAAAAATTATTTAAGTGTTTGGTCCCCCTTGACCGAAATGCAAGCTTTGCAGCAATTTTACTTGCTGTGTATGAGATCACTCGAGAATTCCTGTGGTAACAAAATGTTCTGTCCTATTTCAATCCAGAGAATATGCGGGAATCTCCATCCACTGGATTCCTCCGTCTTTATTATAATCGGTCCCTAGTATAGTGCGCTATGAATGATAATTATTATCTATTAAGTGGAATTTATTACCGACTGACCGCTAAAGAACTTGACATAAGGATAAAGAACCTCATTTTGTATAAAATGAATTATATATGTATATGAATAATGAAATATAATTATTCATAGTTGCATAAGTAAAAATGCGAAGGTCAGTGCGTCCATTCAAGATTCTGCCCGTTCATGCAATGATTTTACCACTTTTGTACCGAAGTCTTTTATAGGTGTTTTCAAGCTTACTTAAAGTATTATGCTTTCTCCAGATTACAAACATGTCTGAAATCACTTTCAAAATAAAATAGAGTTTCATCAATAAAAAAAGAACTGGGCTGCTATCAGCGACACTTCAAACATGATAATCTCTGCACTGAAGCAGTACAGCGCATTTTGTAAATGTTAGTGGTACACAAATCATGAGTTAGTTTCCTAGCAAACAGTTCTCTGTTATTCAACCTTTCATTCACAGTAATATTCGAGTTCCTGCAGCTGCAACGAACTTCCTTGCAATTCGGGATGA